AATAATGTTTAGCCATTTGAGAAACTTTTGATAAACTACATTTTTTAAATTATTAGTATTAAAAAATCAAAATATTTTTTTTAATTTATGAATTTTGAATACATGTACCTACATACTAATATGTCATAACTTATAAGTTATAACGTTTTAGGTAGGTATACAATTAGTTAAAAGATTGGAACTAATTTTTATTAAATAAATATGTCGTTAAAAGTGAACACCAAATCGGGCATGATTGAGCGAATTAATATTATACATTTATACGTCTATGGTTTAAGAGTCACTAAGTAAATAAATGATACGTTATGTTTTAAGTTTGAGTCAAAAATGTCTACATAAACTACATTTATAAGACTAATAATATGTAACAAATGCAATTTTTATGATGTATAACTTTGTTGTATATAAAACAATGAACAGCTCATAAGCAATTATAATTAACAACCTAACATTGCACACATAGGTAAAAACTATCATATATTACAACCTATACGTACTATTGACTATTTACACATTTAGGTACTGTCGTGCTGATTACTTTTTAGTAGGCATTATAAATCACTGCACTACATAAAAGTAAACATGCTTAAATAAGAACAATCAGTATGAAGTGCTGAACACTTTGTAAATACTTTAGCAACAACAATTTACAATACATACACATACACTAACAGTTATTAAAATATAAATAACAACATAAAAATATTTCAAAAACATACATAAAAATATAATGAAGGATTTGCAATATAGAATTCTTACTGGGGTAAATTTTAATGATAGGCAATTTAAAAATAATTGTCCACACATTTAATTAAAATTGAATATAAATTCAAAAATTACAACTATCAAAACCGTATTTACGTACATGTAAATAAATAGTTATATTCGTAAATATGACATATTATTAATTCATTAATTAATTTTCTTATGTAATACCATTATAGGTGAATAAGCAAAATTAGTTATTCATTATTTTGTAATTTATTATGAATATAAGAAATTAATTAAATAAACCGTATACACTGATAAAGAAGAACTATTTATTTTATTTCTAGTAATAATTTGATCTCTAATTCGCACAACATGCATCATAAGCCCAAGTTTTGTTACAACATTATGTAAAAATAAAACGTATGATAATAAATAGATTGCAAAAACTCAAATTAATTAATAAATCTGAAAAAATGTAGATAGTTATTTTTAGATACTGAGCAGAACAAGGAAGCTATTGATTGAATGAGGTCATAATTGTACCCGAGATCAACAACATTTAACAAAATCAGTTATTCGGACAAAAGAAAATCTTTGAAATCCATGTTTTCGAAAATGCAATCATGGTAATGTTAAATATTAAAATGATTCCTTATTCATTAAACCGTCCAAATTTGAAAGCTGAAAACTATCTAAGGTATATTTACGTATATTCCAAAGGGCTACAATTTTATCATAATATATTTTACTCTAAGCAATTTAAATTGTTATTATAATTTTTCAAAAACTTCTGAGAAATTCAAAAAATGAGGATGAACTATAAGAATAATATTTTAAGAATATATTTTAGACCACTAATTAATTATTCTAGGATGCATCTATGTACAGTACATTATAGTAAAATCATTGATTATAAACACAGAATTTATAATCAATAGTAAAGCTAATACCTATTTACATTTCACTAGAAGTCTACATTTTAATATTTTTTTATTAAAATTATAAATACAAACATATTGCGTGTAAAAAGCCATATATAACAAATTCAAGAGTTTGTGTAGGGTAAAGGCTGAGTAAAGACCATTAATTATTTAGCTAGTTATACATTTTTTAAAACAAAACTTAAAAAGGTTCAATCGATTTTTCTTCTATGCTACTAAATAAAATATGGAGTCAATACAATAGAATTCATTGAAATATTAATTCAATGTTGTTCGGTCACCCATTATCAAAATAATATTATGAGGATAAAAAATTATAACTAAAATAAAATATACAATAATTCATTATTGCCATGAAATTCTCATAAATCAAAAAGTTGCATCTTCATAATATACCTAACGATGTTTAATTTTATTTTGTCATGTACAAAAACTAATAATGCACTATTGCAGCTTATACCTAACAATATGAATATGAAATTACCAAATTAATTTACATTCACCTTATATAGTTGTTTTATTATAATACATTATTTATCACCAAGCAAAGAGTATATTGAATCCCACCGAGTGTGATCTATCCAGGAGGTGGATCAATTCAACATACAATTTTGAAATTGCATTATTTTTATAAGTGTGACACGTTTTAATTTCAGCAAACAATACATTTATAATTAATTAAAAAATTAAGAACATGAGCTACTTAAATACATCTATTGCCACTAAATTCTTTCAATGATTAATAGGTTACTGTAACTTAACTGCTTTCAGAAGAGATAATTGTACTTATAGTTTAGCACCGACATTTTTCGTTATTTTAGTGGGAAAGAAAATAAATCGTTTATAATTTTGTATTAGTATGGAACACATTTTTTTATATTATACCTACATGACTACAGTTCCAAATTTGAAATCTAGTAATTTATTTTCTGACTAAAATTTGATATTTATCATATTTTTAATATAGATAAAATATTATATAATATTCAATATTTCTCAAATCCGCTAACATTTAGTCATTTTAAAAAGCCAAACATGAAGCAATAAATATTTTTATCATTTATTATAGACCTATAAGTATTGTGAGTATATTATGTTAAGCAACATTTAATTTCAGTTATAGGTTTTGAAAAAAAGTTGGTAGTTTATTATTAGTTTGAAATTTGTAATTTTCATTCCCACTAAAGCAATGGAAAATATGTCTTGTTCTCTACCGAAATTACACTCATGTGACATCTTCCGATTATTAATACTGTCAATATTATGTTTCATAAATCTGCCAAAAGTATTATACTCAAACAAAATATTGGTTTTTGCAAATTGGTACAATTGGCCATAACAAAAAGTACGCCGCTCGCGTTTACAATGCTAATATTATGATTCACCGGTTTAACCGTTAGAAACATTGAAATCCTGTGAGAAAATTTTTTTATTTAGTAATCCATCAATGACCGGTGCACTTCATACTGAACCGTTGCACAAGTTTATCGTATCTAAATGTCGATAATTCAATGGTTATTTCGGACCAAATAATATGCAAAGCGTGGTTATGAATTATTGATAATACGAGCAAATCATTTCCGATCGGTCGGCAAAACTACCAGTGGGTGAGAACCCTCGACTTGTCTACAAACACTTGTAACCAACACGTAGGTCGTCGAGTTTTGACGGAAATGTACATACAACAGAGCTGTCGCAATTGCACAGGGCACCACCTGATATCCCCATCCGGCCGTGTACCAGATCGACACGGTTTCGCGGTGCAAAGGCCGCGCGCGTTGCGTATCGAGTTACATTTCGCATTATGCCAATTAACACGTTTCCGTGTCCGACGCAGCGTTTGACCGACCTAAAATACCTAACCTAAAGGTCACCCGCACGCACACGTGTAACGTTGGCGGTTGGTGTGGGGTGTGCGTGCGCGCGCGATTATACAATGCACCATGATCGCGGCGGCGGTGGTGGTGACGGGGGGGGGGGGGGGGAGTGGGAAAAATGCGATAAAAATAATATTACAATAAAAATATTCTTAAAAAAAAAAAATGAATTCAACGTGTAAGACAAGAGCCGCGCGATAAACCGTTGCGTTTATCGACGTCTGCGCCGATGTTTCGATTATATAACAACAATATAATTTATAAATGTATAACATTATAACCTATCAGCGCATCGTGATCGTCGCGTGTTGAATTTCCGCGCACAACGGTCACGTCTCCGCGCCGCGGCGTTTGAGGGGAGGGGGAAAATACGTTACGGCTACCGAAAAACCCGTTCCGATCGATTTAAACGTATAATATTAACACGGCAGAGTGTAGTAGATAGTATGGCCGTATAACAATAGCGGTACGAGACACGACGATGGGCACAGAATACCGGCGCGCAGAGGTCACTGGCTCGGGAGAGTTGGCCGACGACGCGGTACAACGACGTCGGCGGCTGTGCCGGCTCGGCGGTAGGGCGACGGGTGGTGACGACGGGCCCAGGAAACAAAGATTCAGACGAGTGCGGGGGACGGGGAACGGGGGAAATGAAATAACCGTACGGACGAGCGGGTCATCCCGTGTATCGTTACGCTCATATTATAGTTATATTGTATTTCGAGCGAATAAAATCGCGCCGTACCGTAGACCGGCCACGAGACGAAACGCGTGGTTGGACCGTGGGCGTGTAAAAAGCCAGACAAAAAGCGTTGACCGTTCTTCGCGGAAAGACTTTGGCGCGCGCTATCGGATCCTATCGACGACCCTTCACGTCTCCACCGCCGCCGCCACACGAACCCACCAGGCCGTCGGCCGCGTTAATCATAAATTTGATTAATACGTCGTTTACATTCCATTACAACTACAACTGGCGGCGTTGTCTCGGTTGGATATCGTTCACGAATACCAGAACTCTTCCCCACGCGGTTGTCGGACGAGCGTGCGCGACGTGGCAGGGGAGGGAAGGGCCCGTCCGCCGGTACGCGCCGCTATCGATTTACGAAATGACATTTTCGCGTGCACGAGGGGCAAGCGGTTTTCTCGACGACGACGGGACCCGAGCGGCGAGCAGCGGTGCCGAACCCGACTTCCGGCCGAAATGTGCTTTTAACGCGACGGAAACGGTACGGAAAAATATAATAAAAATGAAACCCACCGGAAAGGGATATCGTTGTATTCAATAGCAATATAGTTATTAAGACGTTGTACTCAAACGGCGGTCCGGGCCAACAAAAAAAAAAAACCGGCGTTAATAATGCTACAATACACAAACAGATCAGATCGCACAGGTAAATCGTAATAGGTAGACAGTATGATGGCCATAAATTGTAAGCAGTGTTATAATATCATTACAATTTATAGTACTCACTTGAAATGGAATTCTTCGACGTTGCGACAGGAAAATATAACCTTATTTTTGTAAATAAACTAACTTATCCGAGTACAATATGACGTTTTTCATACGCAATTGTACAGTTGCCTACCATAAAATATAATGCGATATTCACACGGATTGTGTACTGTGTACGCTCAAGTGCGGCACATACACGGCGATGGTGCGCGTTCGGCTGACTGGGCCTGGTGCCTGCCGGTTTTCGCTATTTAAGGCGGCGGCGGCTCTGGCGGCGCACTGTACAGTCTTTGCGGCGCGCGCATACAGAGTGATGCGAGTGGCTGGTGTTGACGTGCCGGTCGCGCTTTTCCGACAAAATTATTGTACCGCGAGCGCCGGCCGCTGTAAAACGGATACTAATAATAATTATTGTGGGTAGATATTTAAAAATGTAAATGTTACAATTCAATTTTTTTTGTTCTTGCGTAGTTGTCGCATGTTATGCATAGCGTTTTTATAATTTTATTAGCATTATTATTATTCATATCACGTACGGGATAGAGGGGGGGGGCTACGTTTCCCGTGACGACGAAATAGATTTGGGCAACCAACGAAATCGACTCGGAATAATGTTGTTTTTGGATGTTATAACATTATCTCATGAGTCAAGTCGAAATTTAAACTGTTCTTTGACTATTTCGTCATTAGATTTGTTCAACGCTCAGATACGAGTGCCTACCCAATATCTGGTATGGTATGGACCTACGTATCATATACCGCCCGATTAACGCATTAAATATTATGTATCGTGTACCCGTGACTTCATGTAGATATATTATAATGAAATGTTAACACCTCTTAAAGTCTTAACGGCTCTTATAATTACATAGGCATCTAAATAGAAAACAATTTAACGATTTCGTAGTGTAAAACATTAATATTACGACAGTATTGGTGTCTGTGCGCAAGTCGTTTTAAAATCCTTTTAATTTGCGTGTAATTTATTCGCCGGGGTCGTCGTTTACTAATCGATGATTTATACGCCGCCGATGACCAGTGAAAACTGTGAGGTAGCGACAAATTCGCTGAGAAAATCCTATGACGTGGAAAGCGGAAAAAACAAAACGCTTTTCAGATCTGTGAGCTTTTTACTGATGGGTGGGCCGCCGCGTTTGAAAAACTTAACCGGCGTTTGTCGCATGCTCGAGAATCACGAGAATCACCCTGTATACGTCAATATATTATCCGTTAACGCCGTTTGTACTTCTCACGCACAGTCGTCCCTTTTCGCCATACGATACACCGGCTGTGCGACCGGCGGGCGGCGAATAGCGACGGCGGCGCAATAACGTTCCGGGCTACTACGACGAACAGTCTGACCTCCTTGGACTCGTTGAGTTGCCCACACTGTTCGCCGGATGTCCACGGTGTACCAGTCTTCTCCACATCATCACGGCCGGCATCGGTGGTCGGGTCGATCGTCAGCCGCGGCGATGGGCGATGAGTGATGACGTCACAACTTTTAAAGTTTCGCTGCGGGCGAAAAACAGCTGCTGCCGCTGGCGAGCCTGCTAGGTTACTTACCATCTGACAAAATATCGAGTTATTGCCTTAGGCAATCGATAGTACTTTCTCGCCTTCTCGGCTGTACTACAATTTGATAATTGTGCTTACGTATGATATACGATGAAAAAAAAATGTGCAGGAACATAATATTATATAGGTACATTTACAGTCATAGACCACAGCAGGGCACAATATATACCTACATTTTATTAATATATACTAAGTAGGTGTTTGGGGGCAAAGTCAAAGAAAATCCATAACGTAATTTAAAGGGATTTAAAATTTTTTAAACACCTTGATCAATGACTACAATAATCAGTCGTTTGTATTATTTAAATCATATAAAGCGAGAAAATATTATATCCGAATGGACACAACTGAACAATGTTCAATGTTGATATATCTACCCGGTTTTAGTACTGGGACCCTGAAAATTGTTATTTTATTTATGACTTAAATACGTAATCGTAAGTGTCAATTAAGTGTGACCACTGGTGATTTTTACTGAACACTAAATTTTATAAATTTGGATTGAAATTAGTATATTACAGAGTAAAATATAATTGGCAATTGTATTGCCGCAGTATGGAGTGTATCGTTCTGTTATTATTGTGTATGTGTTTGATACTTTGAACTTTTATTAAAATGTATTTATTAATAATATCAATATTTCATATCATAATATTTTGTACCAGTGCAGGTGTTATTAGAAATATATTTCTCCTGGGGGAGGGGATAGAATTTTTTTTACACACACAAATACACAATACTACATTTTCAAGTACAATGGTAAGTGGTAGCCTATATATATAAAGGCTCTGGGGAAATCCATCCCCCTCATACCCCTTTAATTACGCCCCTCTTATAAGCATCTTGCTAAACTCTATAAGTAATAAGTATTAAGTAATAAGTCAGTGCCATTACTTATTTTTTACGTACCTTAGTACCTACATAATCTATATCGTGTATTATGTACATGTGCAGTATGATTGTGCCTGAGTTATAAGTATTATAACTTATAAGTATACCTATTACTTGATATTAAAAATGTCTAGAGTATAATACCTACTCCTACATACCTACAGTTAAAATAACTAAAGATTAACTGTGAATTAAATGTTCAATGATAAAGAGAAACATACAAAATGAATTTATTTTATGGCCCCGGTGAAAAAAATGTTGGGCCACTATAATACTATACTATGATATGAAAATAAAAAATGTGTTGAAATAGGGCGCCATAAATGTTTTAATTTAGATGAAATAATTAATAATACCCTAAAAACGTTTAAAAATTCCTAGTGTTTGATTGTGCCCATCACTAAAAAGTACCTATAAAAGATACTTATTTTGGTGAAAACTACTAACTCTATTTTTTGGCTACCTGCAGTGGTGCAAATTACAAGTTCTCAAATAAATGTTAATGAGTAATGAGTTATTAATTTAAAAAAAAAACCACTTGGTAATATAATAAATTAGTTATAACTTATAAGTTTAGGTACCTACCGATGTCGTATGCTATTTACACAATAAATGATCATGCTATATCTAATAATTACCTATGCAATCTAAAAATACTATTTATCGTACACCATTCGTGTATGTAAAGGGTGTTTGTCATTACTCATTTGTAGTTTGACATATTATTCATACTGACGAAACTTAATGTGTAATTAATCGCTATTAATAGACGAAATATTATTTAAACCAAAAAGGCGTTCAAACAATAATTTTGTGAAAAAATGAATAAAATAGTCGCTAACGAAATTCCGATGGACCACTTATAAAATCAAAGTAGGTACAAACATGTAGTTGTCAAATATATCAGTAGAAAAATCTAAAATTTATAATCTTTAAAAAAAACCACTTAGTAATATAAGAATATAGCACTTAAAGGATTTTATTAGTTGTACTTTTATTACCTACTATATATTATTAAAATTTGAATATAAATAAATTATATGATACCAATATGTTAGGAATTGGGGGAAGTGCAAATTTTTAGTCACTATGCGAACTATGTGCTGTATAATTATAAAATGTATACATATAGATATTATTATTTATTTATTCATTGTACCTCACAAGTCACAAATTAATTACATTTTTAACTGGAACTGAGAGGGACGGTCAGTCCTAACCCCTAGGTGATATATTGATATGTTAAAGATATGGATACTATTATATTTATATAAATATATAATAATATAAGTCACACTTTTATAAGCCATAATATAGTATATACCTTTAAATAATCAATAAGACATCAAGTTATAAAAAAAATCATCAAATTTTACCAAAGTTCAAAACAATTAACAGGTATATTGGTAAACCATAAATCAAAACAAAACTAATACCATGACTAAAAAATAATATTAAAATAATTCACTCAGTTAGATGATAAGTTGGTAGGTATATTAATTTTATTTAGGTACTAAAACAAATTAAAAGTTAAGTTGTAACTATTTATAATAAATTATTCAGTGCTGTGTAGGAATAACAAAGATCGTGATTTTGACTATTCAGAGGTTAGATACGATTAGTTTATTAGTACGCTTGCGAGTAAAATTGTATGCGACGTTGTCAATTTTTATTTTTTTATAACAAGTTTTAGTTATTTCATAATTATTTTTAAAATTTAATACAAATACATCTGAATAGATATTCAGAAGGTATTTAAAATTTAAATGCGTTTACTCAAATACTTTACAAGAATGTTGTATTACCTATACCAAAAATGTTATTTACCGCTAAATGCTAATGGATACATATGTAGTCACTAGTCAGTCTACGTCATAAGAGACAATAATTATGATTATTAGGTATACATATATCATTAATACTGTATAGAAGTACACTGTTTTTCGTTCGGAATTTACAACAAAGATAATAACTCTGATCCAATATAAGTATGATCTAAAACATAACCAATTTGTTCTTAGTGATGGAAGTTTGTCAGGTATCGGCAATAATAAGTAATAAATAATCCATTATAATAACGTAGCCACGTAGGTACATATCACCACAATCTGTATGGATATTTACCGTAATACCGTGGATATGTATCTAAAGGTAAGGTATATTTTGGCAATGTTGCTTAAAAATAAAAATATTATAACATGCGCAATCGTACGCCTAAAAAGATACCGCCGGTATCGCCACAATAATAAGAACCGTAATCGTATTGCGCCAATCTATAAGGAATATGTGCGACGACAGTGTCACAGGTGTTGATTTAATGGGTGGAGAGGGTATCCCACGTGGGCTGTACTTAACTTGGGAAAAATTCCAGTATAATTCAAAAAAACATGTCGAGTTTACAGACATACAGTGTAGTCTACGTAATATTATATGCATGCATGTGTGTAATAAATTATTACTAATATTCATAATAATAATATAGACTTATTCAAAATAATTTTTTTTTTGTTTGCCTCCCATCCACCATAATTGTTGTTCTTGATCAAATTTAATGTTTCCCCTAAGGAATTTTTTTTTCAAGTGTCATCAATAATTATAGATTTTCTACGAAATTGGAGCTCATTTCAAAAAGCTCACGGAAAGAGCTTAAAAAGAATCCTACACAGACTCTTGTTGTTTTCGCTTTACATGCACATAATATACCAAATTGACACTCAACAGATCATGTTTAGCTTCATTAGTTTAAAAGTTAGAATGAATTGATGACCTAGTGACATATTTGATATTATGAAACTTGATGGTTAATACGTTGTCTGTGTTTGTATGTGGGTTTTTTACGATGGTTCAATTTTTAGCAAATTGTTCGTATATACCTAATATAGTGTAAATTAAAAATGCTCATAACTTACTTAAAAACTGAATTATCGTCAAAAATCCACTTAGGCACAAACACAGATATTGTTCCTAGTCCGAAGTTCCTACCATCAAGACATCAAGTTTTATAATAGGTCGATTCACTCTAATGTTTAAATTAACGAAGATAAACATGATCTGCTGAGCGTAAATTTGGCGTACCTACCCATGTTATGCACTTGTAAGACGAAGACAACAAATGTCCGAACTAATTATTTATATTAACCTTTTAGGCCTTTGCTTCCGGCTCACATTCAAATATTTACTCAACTATTATAGTAGGTACATATTTTTTTAAAATCTATTTTCAATAATTTGGTAGGTACTTTGTAATCACTAATCACTAGCCACTAATCAATGAACGATTTACTGACAAACGCAGACAACAGAAATATTCAAATTGTTTAATAATTAATAACTAATTACTAATTAGTAATTTGTTATTTTTATACCATTTTTGAGATCTATCAGTAGGTATATAAATTACCTACCACACAAATCGCAAACAACAACCTGCATTCTATGAAAAGAAATCGAAATTATAATAATTATTTCTCGTCCAAATGTGCAAATTTGCATATTAATACCAAATTGCCAACCTATAACAAAAAAAACATTTTAATAATTGGATTTTATTATGTATAGAATAATAGAATAAATTAGGTAGGTATATAATATTTATTAAAACACTACCTATATAATATCAATATGCGTGTAATATTTCAAAAAAATCTGTTGTACATACCATACGTTATTATGTTTTATAAAATATAAAATAATTTATTACCTTCTTAGCTTCCATATTATTTACTCCCTAATTGATCGGCTTATAATTTAATTTGAATACCTTTAATTTATTATAATTTATGAAATTGTTATTATACATTTAAATTTATCATATTTTAAAAAAGGTATCTTCAAAATATTAGAATGTTGTATGTATAATATTTAAACCTACCTTATCTGTCTCTTTCGGCTCTGAGCCATTACCTGTTGTTCTGCTTAGTAATAAATTCAATTGCGAAAGATATACACGGTTAGACATTATAGTGCATTATTTTTGCACATGATCTGATGATGTTGTGTTAGTGAAAGCCTGGAAGAAGTAAACAATTGGAAGATTAGAGAACAGTGCTTATAAGTTACAGGGAATTATTGCCTAAGTAGAAGTAAAGTAGAGCCAATTGTGTATGGATTTGGAGGGAGTTATAGAGAAATGAATGAGACAAAGTTAGATAAGGCATCAGTGTTATTTCTCCTCAGCCCTCACCAGTGTATATTAGGATATTCCTGACTCCTGTTAAGTTTTATTTAATTTAATTTACACAAAAAACATATTCTTTATGTTACATTCATAGTTGACCTTGACTTAATATGTAATATGTTTTATTACTGTATTAACATAATGTAAAAAATTAAATGATGTATTTTTAACTACCTGAATCTGTAAAATAAATAAATTATATCAGTTAATAACAGAATAAACATTGAATCTCTAGTCTTTAAATTATAAATTAGGGTTAGCAGAAAATGTAATGACATCTATATTTAAAATTAAATTTTTAGTTAATCAGGATTTAAAAATTAAAAGTAAAGTCAAAAATTACTTTAGAGTTACAGTAGATTATCACAGATGTGAGGAACCATTACATCAACATAAATAGATAATGCTTACTAGAATTATTGGTCATCCACCTATATTTATACACATACATATATTTACACTACATAAGACACAACAAGTTCAATAGTTCTAGCCTAACAGCAACCCACATACAAACAACTTTTGATGACTATAATACACGTAACTCTTTCATAATACTGCATTTGATATTTAATTGAGCTTGTGTACTATTGTACTAATGAAATATATCAATTGTAACTAGGGCCCCACAAGGTGGGGCTGATGGACCTCGAGTACATGGCCCGTATAAATTTATTTGTAATTTTTGAAATTTTTGTAGAAATACTTATTTTATATTAAATAATATTGTAAAATAACATAATTATATATAAATGTAGTCATATTGATACTTCAAAATGAGGGTTAATCATTGATTACCTAGAAATTATCGTGGTTGCAGTTTGTCTTCCTTATCGCTTGTAAGCGAGATTAGATTATTATACTTGCCTTTTATTTTTTTAATAAAAAAGACATTAATAATGTTAAAATGCTTATAAATCTTGATTTCTTATAGTTTACTAGCTGACCCGACAGATGTTGTCCTGCCCTAACTATGAATATTGAATTTGAATTGGTATGATTAAAAAAAAATTATATATTATTCCAAAAATTGTTATATATTTAGATGGTAAATTATATTTTTGGAAGTTTTACAAAGGGCCCGGACAAACATTTAGTACAGGGGCCTTGATTCTAACTTATGGTTTAAACTTTGTTCACTGAAGCTCCCCATATGTATGTCTTAAAATTACTCAACCTTGTTACACCACTTTTAGATAAATTTCAATAAGTTACAGAAAATTAAACAAAACAATATAGTTCTTAAGTTCTACAAGAAGATATTAATAAAATAAAAAAGTCAATAACAAAATAGTTTGTAGATTTAGATGTGAATATTTATTAATTATTACTAGGTAGGTACCTATGCCATAAATTTTTAACTTAACTTATAGGTAATTTTGTTTAATCTCGTTTGAAACCAGGTTTTCTGATTTCTGGTGGTACATATGTTAAATCATCTTTATGGCTCTTGTCTTTAATCACTGTCTTTTTCATTCGTTTCAGTTTTTCTTCTTTAATTAGGTCATGTTTGTGTTCATTATCAAAGAAGAACAACAACTGTTCTTTTTCTTTAAGATCCTGTTTGGCCTGTTGAACCTTCTGTAAACGTTTCAACTTATTTAAATGGTCAAGGTACCTAGATAGCTCTTCTCGCCTGAAGGATTCCCATTCTTTGTAAATCTGAAATATAAATTAAATCATATAGATAATATTTTAAGTTTGATTTATTTTCACATACCGTTTTTTGGTTTTGTATTTCCTTTTCTTCATTTTTAGATACTGCCTCATTTACAAAATGTTTTGATTCTGTGGTCAAACTTTTGTTTTCAATTTGCATTTTGGCAAGTTCATCCTTCAGTTGCTCAGTATTTTCAGGTTTTCGTTTATCTATTGCAGTAACTGCCAACTCTATTGTTTCCAAATATACAGAACCATCAAGTTTTTTTAGATGATCACTTAAATCATTCCATCGGTTATAATAAGCTAAACCAAGAGTCTTAAAACTATTGCTCAATATAGTATTATCAATTTTTCTGCTGATTGCCAGCATAGTTTTTCCGACCAAGTAATCACCATCTGCCAAATCAAAGTGATCATCAAAATATGGATTTCTCAAAAAGTCGACACGTACTCTTCTATCTACTTCATCATCATCATCATTATTTGTTTCATCTGTTTCTATTTTTGCTTCTTCCCATTCAGTGGGGCTGGTGATATATTTCAAACAGGAATATAATCCCATGGCTTTGGTAATATCATTTTCTAGTTCTTCTTGTAACATTTGGTTGGAAGCAATCACTGCTGCACTTCGAACATCATTGTCTTTTATAAAACGATCCATTAATAAGTTACACAGATAGTAGTCGGGAAAAATTCCGTAATTAAGGCGATCCTTCAAAATCCTGATGAGGTCATTGATGCTATTTGACGCAACAAGCAACCGCACGACTGCATGATGCGTGGACGGCAGCAGCGTGCCAGTCTGTGCAGACAAACGAAACTTATGCACAAGTTCCTCCAATTCCTCCAAGTATGTATTGTCAGTCAAAGAGTTGGCAAATACATCCAGATCAACGGCACTAATCTGCTTTGATCCTTGTTCTAAAGTAGTGGACAACTTGTGGTAGAGCACTTCAGGTTCGACTTTCTTCAGTAACGAACAGTCCAGCCGTTCTTGCCATACGTCTTCGCACCTGTATGCCTCAGTTAGAAACAACCTATTCCCACGCAGTCGGCGGCCAGCTAATGTGGTCAGGGATTTTTTCAGAGCAAACATTATCAGTGACTGGCTTTTTATGATTTATTGCCACTAACACGAACGCATGGTTCTTATTTATTCGGAAAAAAAACGTTTGAGGTAATATATTAGTTTAAAAAAACAATAGTTATTAATATTATACTAATAATTATATTGTAAATTGTTAGTACTATGTTTAATATCTTCACTTATCCGTAAGAACTAAGATGGTCCACAAAGCCTGCTAAGCTAGTAAGCTGCCGGAATATCAATTCCTCACTCCACTTATCCACATGCGGTCTTTGTTATCATATTATTTTGATAAAATTATTCTGTGATAAAAGTTATCTTCCACAAGCATAGATAATAAATCATTATGTGATAAGAATTCTAAATATTCTTACATCAAAAAATTCAGAATTCTTATTTTTAATCTTTATTGACTTTTGACTATGCCTAAAAATATCTTAGTCCAAACCTCTGACTAACCACTAAGCGATAATGTACTATAACTGTGAATTCATGAATTTACGTATCATTAATCGATTGTATCCTGAATCAGAATAGTAGAATCATAGGCGGTCCCAGGATTTTACTTCAGGTGCAGCCGTGCAGCATAGATGGTTAATTTCTAAATGTTAGGGGTATCGGGAATGTGTACGAAATTAGATTTACTGAGTATCAATGAACCATAATTTACTTTAGACTATTATATATAATTTTTGAAACTAGTAAACTAGTAATTTCCTTTCCTCCGAACTTGGTTTTTCTTCATATGATAATATTATAGATGTGATCGCGCGTGACTATAAATACCGCTGTTAGCCTAGGGTCTTCCTCCCTTTAATTCTGGCTTGATCATCAGATCTACGAGCTAACAACTATCCAGTGTTGGGTAAATTACTTTCGATAAGAAACTAATTAGTAATTATGTTACCTACTTATTACATTAAATATTTTTATTTAAATTACATTCGGGTTACCCGACATTATTTTTATCACGTTATGTTACTTTTTCATTCAAAAAGTAATGCGTAATGAATTGTTACTTTTTCAAATATTTACGACAAATTCAGTCCATAACGAATATAATAAGAAGTAGGTATACTGTTAATAATTATATATAAATTGTATAGTAGTATGACTAGTATGTGTACCTAATACATTAATTATGTAGGTACACTATATTGATAATGGATGGATGTAATACTGATGAATAAAATGCGTAAAAGCCTGCATATTTTATAATATTCATCATTATTATCTAACATTTTCAGAATAGTAAATACATTTTACCGATTTTCAATTTTTCTCGAATATTTTAACACTCTTAACCTTTAGTTTATGTCATGGACTCTACATTCATAACTTATTTTAATAACGTGGAAAATAACACGTTGCTCCATAGAAATTACTTTTATAAGAAATTTCATTACAATTACGTTAATTTAAATAATATATAATCAAATTACTACAGCGTTACTGGCTACTACAATAGTAATTTGTATTCTTCAATACGTTACTACCCAACACTGAAACTAACAACTAAGTTCATGATCAAAACAATATATCATGAAATAACAAAGATATATAAACTATAAAATACCTTATGAGTTATGAATAGTTATACGATTTCAACCAATAAAATAAAGTGGTGGTTGTAATGTCAGGTGCAGCACAGGCTGCAGAGGCTGCACCCGTAGGACCGCCTATGAGTAGAATACAATTAATGTAATTCAAGAGTTGTGCTCAATTATAAACATGAAATTCTTTATAAAATGTACCTACTTGTTTGATGTATTGAATAGTAAAATAGCTCATTTTTAGAATAAAACAATATCTCAGTATCCAACATTTATTGCAATGAATGGTAATTATTATGATGTAATTTATTTGTATGAAAACATTTGAATTTTTTTAATGAAATAATGTATTACAACTTAGTATTTATCTTATTGAAAACACATATTTTATTAATTATATTTTGTCAATAAATTAAATAGGTAGATACATTAAGTATTAATGATTTGCAAGACAAACTAAACAATAATACATTTAAAATATAAACAATAGGATATATTCTTATATAATTATGATCTAAGATTACACAAACTCAAAAATAAAAATTTCATTTTAGTTTTATAATAATCATATAAAAATCTAACAAATTAAAAAAAATAATGTTAAGAAATTTCAAGAAATTGTTTGAGATCAAATGAAAAATAGCTAAATATCATTAGATATAAGTCTTTAACAGTTAAACATATTAAAAGTTATTTAAATATTAACTGATATTCACTATTCAGTTTACCTATTATAACAATCCAATTTATATGTATGTAGATTTCACCACTTTAAATTAGATTAATAGACCAGAACATTTTGTTATTTCATTTATTTCTTTTACCTAATATATACATTTTATCAGATTCAACAATTCTATCTAATTTATTATAAAACGATATCACATCAGGATTTGCCCAAACGTGTTTCTTGTCGAAATCTAAAATTCTTAAAGATGACAAACTTTTAGCTCTAGACAATGCAACATAAGCTTGCCCGGCTTCAAACACCCGCCCTAAAGATATTTCAACACAATCCAATGTTAAGCCCTAGAAAAAAATATCAATTATAATTAATAATATATATGTTATGACTAAATATATTATTATTATATTATAATAACCTGTGACTTATGAATAGAAAATGCCCAAGCTAATTTCAAAGGAACTTGTTGCCTTGAAATAAATTGTCCAGTAGGAGTTTTCACAATCCACTTTTCAGGTTTAATAGTAACTGTATTACCACATTTGAATTGGACACACGGAGAACCTAAAATGGTATAAAATAAACTAATATAATTATTAAGCTAATAACAAAATTTGAATGGGGGATAAACTTATAAAATCTTGTATTTAATACTTAATTTTAAATTCTTTATGATATACACATTGTATTCACATTGTCATTATTAAAAAACGGACCGTTAGGACTATTATAATTCTAATATTAAACTAAAAAAACCTTAAAATAATCTCTTAATAATTCTCTAACTGGTAACATATGCTGAAAAAATCTACGATTTTTTTTACTTCCAATAATTAAAAAAATTGTAAATCAGTTACAATAGAAACATATTATGTACAATAAATAATGTAAGTTAACATTGAACTCTGCAAAATTTATAACTAACATTTACCATCCATTTATTGCACACCCTGTATAATATGTATATTACTTCAACTTGAAAATAATTACTGCACACCTTTTCTTTGGTAAATAATTTAAGCTAAGTTACACTTAAGAGTTAAAACAACTAAACAAACTACAGAACAAATTCTATCATTTTTCATTTTTAAATTAAAGAAATTTTTTTAACGAAATATTTCAACTAGAGAAATGAACAAATAATACAATATATTCTTGAATATGAAATATAGGCTGAATAATTTTCAATCTTTAAAATATACTGTAATATACAGAATGCATTTTTTCCCCACAAATTCTGTACTGAATAATTTGACCAGATTATTTATGCCTGTGAGATGCATACAAACAAAAAAAAATTATGTAAAATTCTAATAATCCGCTTTCTAGTCATAAACAAAATAATATGGTAAGACTGGGTCAGTTGTACAACAACCAAGAAAATCCTAAATATCTGAGTTTAATTTTTAAGTACTTAATATGTTGCTCTAAACATAGAGAAATATAAAAGAAAAAACACCAGATATTGAGCTTGTAAATCGTAATACTCTAGATTATAACATCAAATTTAAATGATGTGCTTATAAAATAAAATTATGTATATTACTAAATCAACTAAGATCCTACACAAATATAGCAATAATCAATTAACTAATCAACTAACCATTTTTATCAAAATCTTTGACCACTCCTCTAGCACCATTTACTAGCCCGGATGATACACTTATGTTTTTTAATAACATTACTTGAGCACCAGTCTTAAGAACAAATGATTTTGCCACAGGAGTATGGTCATCTAATGTTTTTGTTGGACCACTATCAAAAGCTTCAAATTTATATACTTTTCCTGGTAAATCAAATATTTTTTTTTGATTTATCATTTGAGCATCAGCTGTCCGACAACAAAGACGTGTAGGTACAATTCCATTTTGTTCTAATAAATTAAACGATGTGGCTTTTAATTTTGTTGCTGTATCTGGATTTATACTGAAAATGTCCAGATATTAAATTTATCTACCAACCTGTTCATTTTAAAGTCCAAGACATTATTTTACTTACTTTCCTAGGCGTAGTTCATTTAACATTTTTACAAACTCATTATCTGACTGTCTATGAACAAACTTCAAGTTGAAGCAACGAAAACGACACTCTGTCCAAGTCTTGGTTTGGAAACAGAATCTAGATTTTCCTTGTTTCACAGGAGGTAATTGCAAAAAATCACCACACAACACTAATTTTATACCACCAAATGGTTCATCTCGTCTGCGTACAGCTTTTGCTATTTTGTCAAGTTTCTAAAAAACAAATAAAAAACCGTTTTTTATAATAACTGAAATGACAATTTAAAATGTAATAAAATATAATATAATAGTCACTTCAAAGTATTCCCCATCTACCATTGATATTTCATCAATAATAAGTATTTTACATTTACGCCAAACTTGTGCAGCTGACGATTTAGATGCCATTTCAATACCTCGTTCAATAGTGCATTCACCAATACCGATACCAGCAAAGGAGTGTAACGTAACTCCTCCAATAAGACAAGCTGATGCACCAGTACTAGCAGTCACCATTGTTACATCGGGTGGTAAGGTATTGACAATGTAACGTAATAAAAAAGATTTACCTGTTCCGGCACTACCTGAAAATGTGTAAGAAATTTGAATTTTAGTTTTTTTATTTTCATACAGAATCAAAGATATAAAAATAATTTATGATATCAATATACTAAAACATTTGATAAACTTTAAATAGGCATAAATAAAATCAATGACATTTTTCTAAATTATGAAAATATGTTAAGTTTTATAAATCTTAGATTTATTTATTTTTCATTACATGTTACCCATCATCTTTTTTTTTTAGTTTTTGAATTACCAAATTAATATTTTATTTTAAACGCAAAACATCGAAATACAATAAAAAAGATTTTCAGCACTAGAAATAATGGTACTTTTGTATGGTTATGTATGTACTAGGATGTGGTATGAACTGACTTTTTTATATTTAGATGGGCATTATTCGTTTTCAGTAACTAGTTTGACATTTGAATAATAGTTATATTT